GCCCTGAAGGCCCCATCGGGGCACGCACAGAGGAGGTGCACCACGGCTCTGGCCTGGCGCCTTGGACCTTGCGACGCCACGTGGAGCACCCTGCGACTCCCCCAATAGGGGGAAAACAAACCTACCTCGCTTTTGACCACCCTCGCTTCCAAGAGATACCAAACGATGCCAAATTGCAGCCTGTACTGGTCAGGCCGCTTGACGAGGAGGCGCGTGGTATGGCTTGGTTTTGCCTGGAAGCGAAAGCGGGGTAGGTAATTCACGCTCTGACCCAAGCTCGGTGCAGCTCGACGCGGTCGACACGAGCGGAGACGGCGGCCACAGCAGCGGCCCAGGCCGGGCCTGCTCGGCACAAGGAGGATGTGGACTCAGGGATCGAGCAGGGGATCCACCACAGAATTGATGTGCCCCAAACTTGATGGTCTCGTCGAACTAGATTTGGAATGTTCGCAGATCTACGAGCATTCTACGAATTTCGCATGGGCTCGACGGGAAGATCAATGCAGGGGGAAATGAATTTGATAGTCGATCCCCTACTCGAAGGGTGAAGGGCCCTTCGCTTGGCGTGTGGCGGCGGCGGCCACGCCCGCAAGGGGCCCCACTTGGGCCCCCAGGGAGCCCCGAAGAGGCCTCCTGGAACGAGGAGCTGCTGCGACACACCAGGCTGCACCTGCCCGCGCCGCACGATCGGACCCGCGGAAGAAACGAGAGGTGGCGTTACGTGGCGAGATTGCGACCGCAGACAGTTATGTACATCGATCTGGGCCTCCTCACGAGAACGCGACCAGCGAGGCACCGGCTGGGACGAGCGAGAGCTGTTAATCCTCAAGGAAGCAATCGAGGCCAATCCCGTCGAGACTTGGGCGCTTCCCTCTCGAGGATCCCGTACCCGCCAGGCGAAACAAGTAGGTAGGATCCCGTACCCGCCAGGCGGGACAAGTGAAGTAGGAAGGCGGTCAAAGTAGATGGGACAAATCATCGGACAAAAGAAAACATCGATTCTCGAAGTAGGACGACGCTTGAAGTAGATTGGGATCTGGGAATCCAGAAATATCGATTTTCAACGACCAGCGCGTATTCCCAGCCATCCACGCTTGAGGGGGCCCAAGGACACACAAACAAATATAGACACACATCCCAGGATCCCCCAATATCTGTCAATATGTTCTGGAGCTTCGCCTTCCCCCCCTCACTTCCAGTCCGTCTCCACGGTTTTCCTTGGAATCGACGCCTCCTTAAGGATTCTGTGGCTTCGGCCCTTTGCTTGGTGACGTCTCCCCTCTGGGCGTCGCCCGCCTCGCCGCGAGCGAAGAGGAGGAGGAGGAGGAGGAGGAGGAGGAGAAGGAGGAGGAGGAGGAGGAGGAGGGGGAGGAGGAGGAGGAGGAGGAGGAGGAGGGGGAGGAGGAGGAGGAGGAGTGCCTACGCGCTTTTGCCCTCCTCCCGAAGGTTCTCACGGGTGCGATGCGCCGCACGGGCCCCCCAGGGCGCGCCCGTGGGCCGAGCGCGGAAACGGCACCCCCGAGAGACCCTCGCACGCGTCGGCCGGCAGACGTAAACGGGTGGGCACGCGTGCCCTGGCCCTTGCTAGGGGGCCACGTGCGAACCCTAGCCCTACCCCCCACGATTTCTGGGGGGGAGGGTGGGGTTCACTTCGCTCGGGGGCTCCCGAACGAAGTGAACCCCACCCTCCCCCTCAGAAATCGTGGGGGGTAGGGCTAGGGTTCGCACGTGGCCCCCTACTTGCATCAGAGGAGCTGCGAGGGACAGGAGGCGTTCGCCTCCTTCTGCCAGGAGCTTCCCTCCGTGGCCGGGGGGGGGGAGGCCGAGCGACGAAGGAGCGAACGGCGGCGACGAACGAGAAGGAAGAGGTCCGGGCTCCAGAGCACAGCTGTGCAAGATGATACGAACATGAAGTAGGAAGGCGTTGGAAATAAATTGGGCTTCCGCCCGCCCCCTGAAGACGAAGGTAGAGTCGGAACTCGGCCAGAAAACGACCGTTCAAGAACGTGAGGCCCTCTGTCGGCGAAACCAAACAGAACATCCGAGGGTACCCTCCCCAGGATGCACGAAAGCATCCAACAAACACGGAGAACACTAGAGTAGCATCCCCGTACCGACCTCGATGTTACACCTCGGTCCAATTGAAAAAAGACAGCCGCTCGATCTTGAAGTAAGAAGGCGCCTAAAATGGACTGGAACCTGGGAATCCCAAAATGCCTAAATTCAACGACGGGCGTGCTTGCATGAGCAAGGCCTCTGGCTCGCAACATCACAATGGGCAGGATCACGTATGCAAGGGCCATTCCCATGTAACCCTTGCCGACCCCCCGCCGCAGGAATCGCAAAAAGGTGTGCATGACTCAGGAAAGACGAGACCCTGGAGCTAATCATCCTGCAAAAGGATTTGGTGGATCAGTGGATCCTGGCCTGACGAGCGAACGAACATGGGTTCGTCCTGAGGGCATTGGAGCTACTTCCCACGCATCTTTTCTCAACGAAGCAACTGGTCGACACAGGGCTCGTTCGGACCGACAAACGCAGCCTAAATTTCCACGCGCTGCCGTTCGAACGGCACATGCGGCGCGCTCTAGAAAGTATAACCAAAAAGACAGACTTTCAAAGAGTCCGCTGTGGTAGTATGTGCAAAGTGTCCTCCTACGGGCGAGTTTTCGACGATAACTACGAAAGTCAAAAAATCAAACAAAACATGTTCACAAATACTCAAGCAATGGTCCCCAGAAGATTGTTTGACTATTGCTGAGCATTCGTCCTGTAGAGGGAAACGCCCGACTTGCGCAAAGCACAGACGGACTTCAGGCGGCCTTCCAACAGACACCTGCTTCCGAGACGAGCGCCGCCCCGAGAGCGCTGCCGCGAGCGCTCGCCGCAGCTCCAGCACCTGCGGCGCGCTGCCCTGGCGTAGCCCTGTGGGCCTTGGCTCAGGCCGGGCATGTCCCCCATACGGTTAGGTCGGGCCTGTCCCCCCTACAGGGGGATTTTCGACGATCCCAAAAAATAGTCCAAACATAATTAACAAATAGTCTAAAAAAAAGCCCCCCAAAAGACTCCAACAAAAATAATCAAACAATCGTCAAAAAATAATATGGGGACAATTTTTGGAGTATTGTTTCACCTTTTTGGGGTATGTTTGATTCCTCGTCGAAGATCCCCCTGTAAGGGGGACACGCCCGACATAACCATACGGGCGGACCTCGGAGGACAGGTCAGGCACAGCAGGGCCTCAGCCTCTCACCGTGGGCCCCTGGCCTGCCCGCGCGGCACGCTGCCCTCTCACTCGCCCGCGCGGTGCCAGTCGGGCTCGAGCCCCAGGGCCTGGGGAGGCCAGAGCGCACCGCCGCCGCCGCCGCTCCCCAGACCTCTCATGGGGTGCGCTGCGACCAGCACTCCGAGGCGAAGCCGGCGGTGGCAGCCAGGACCTCCCAGGAGGCCCCCAAAAGAAGGGGACAACGGGCGAAGGGCAGAGGTGTGGGTATACCTGCTCCTCCCCTGAGGTTGAGCAGGGACCGACCGTCCCGGCCTTCCTATAGTCCTACCACGAAATGCTCTTAGAACCCCAAAATGTTCTAAGAACAAAAACAAGGTTCTTAGAACATAAGCCCGATGCGTTAACACAAGACAGGCTCCGCCAGAAATGTTCGAAGAGCATCTCGTGCAAACCAAAAAGAGGTTCTTAGAACAGTGTTTGGTGGGGCTAGAGGCGAGCCGGGACGCTTCGCCACTGCTTGATACCTGCTCCTCCCCTGAGGGCCTGGAGCTTCAGCTGCAGCCCCGGCGGCGGATCCAGCCCGGGGGGCGGCCGGAAGCCCCTCGGGACCGCCGCCGAGCTCGGAAGCCACCCGCCGCAGGCCGGCCCGGCCAGCGGCCACACCTGGGCTGCCGCCTGCGCCTCCCGAGCCCCGAGCTCTTCGCCGCTCTTTGCGCCCGTGGCCGCGTCCAGGGCAGCCTCCTGAGGAAGGAGAGAAACAGCACAGAAATACACCCAAATAACACGACTCCCCATAGGTTCCCATATCTTTCTGTTTGGTTGTCCCCCCCCCACTTTGTCCACGTGTTCCCATATTTTCGGGGGGGACGACGATTAGTTGTGTCTGTATGTCTTTTCCTCCCTGAACAACAGCATAATCATAAACCTTTTGGGCACTCCGCGCGGAATCTTCTCGCTTAACCGCGCCGGGCTCCCTCCCTGGGGCGCGGGGCGCGCCAAGGGCGGCGCCAGAGGCGCCGCGGGGGGGGGGGGGGGGCGGCGCGGATCTCCAAGAAGTCCGCGCGGAGCGCCCGAAAAGTTCATGCTCACGCCGCTTCGTCGTCTTCGATCCTCACCCTGGCTCGGGTGCTCATCGCTGGCGCCCGCGCGGCCGCGGCGCGCCTCCGCGGAGGCCTTGGCGGCCTCCCGCTCCGAGTCCGCGTCCGAGCCCTCGGCGCTCAGCTCCAGGGCAGCCTCCGAGTCGGTGTCCCCCGCGCCCGCGGGAGCCAGGGCGGCCGCCCGCTCCGAGTCCGAGTCCTCCGCGCTCAGCTCCACGGCGGCCTCCGAGTCGGTGTCCCCCGCGTCCGTGGACTCGAGGAGGAGAGGGAGGAGGTGGAGGAGGAGGAGGAGGAGGAGGAGGAGGAGGAGGTGGAGGAGGAGGAGGAGGAGGAGGAGGAGGAGGAGGAGGAGGAGGAGGAGGGGAGAAGGAGGAAGGAGGAGGCGGGGAGGAGGAGGAGAGGAGGAGGCGGTGGAGGAGGAGAGAGGAGGAGGAGGGAGGATGAGGAGGAGGAGGAGGAGGAGAAGGAGGAGGAGGAGGAGGGAGGAGGGAGGGGGGAGGGAGGGAGGAGGAGGAGGAGGAGGAGGAGGGAGGAGGAGGAAGGGAGGAGGGGAGGAGGGAGGAGGGAGGAGGGAGGAGGGGGAGGGAGGAGGGAGGAGGGGGAGGGAGGAGGGAGGAGGAGGAGGGAGGAGGAGGAGGAGGAGGAGAGGAGGAGGAGGAGGAGGAGGAGGAGGAGGAGGAGGAGGAGGAGGAGGAGGAGGAGGAGGAGGAGGGAGGGAGGAGGGAGAGAGGGGAGGTGGAGGAGGAGGAGGAGGAGGAGGAGGAGGAGGAGGATGAGGAAGGAGGAGGAGGGAGGAGGAGGAGGAGAGGGAGGAGGAGAGGAGGGAGGAGGAGGAGGGAGGAGGGAGGAGGGAGGAGGGAGGAGGGAGGAGGTGGAGGAGCAGGAGGAGGAGTCCTTCTCGGACCCCGCGGGGTCCGCCTCGCAGGGCGAGCGGGGGCCGAGCGGCTCGCCGGGGGCCGCCCCCACGCCGTGCTCGCCGCCCTCCCGGTCGCCCGGCGCCGCCGGCTCGGCGGAGCGGAGCAGCTTGGTCGCGGCCGCGGCCTGGGAGGAGCAGGCATCGGCCGCGGAAGACCGCATCGCCAGCGTCGCCGCCACGAGGGGCCCCAGCAGCGCGGCGGCCAGGAAGGCGGCCAGGAGGCCTTCCGCGCGGGCCGGGCGGTCCAATACGCGGACGTTGATGGCGTCCTCCAGGGCCTTTTTCTGGGGGGGGATAAAAACCAGGACGCTGGCACTCTCGAGAGACTGCAGCCGTCGGTCGAGACATTCTGCATTCTGTGTCCGTGCGTGGCATTTTCAGGGTCCTGGTGAGCAGTGTCCTGGTTTGTGGGGGCACTGAGCCTGGTGCACAGGCGGGCCGCCAGACTTGTGCTGCTGGTGGAGCCTGCCGATCAGCCGCACCTCCTGGTCCAAGCTCATGGGGCTCCGGGCCGCGAAGGTGCGCGGGTCTGAGTCCGCGCCCTCTGAGCCCCATCTGGTCTGCAGGTGAGCGCGGACCTGCTCCACCTCCGACACGTCGTCCACTGGCAGGTGCTTGCCAGCCAGCACCCAGGCCAGGGGCGACAGCGCCGGGTCCACCACGGCCGGGGAGCCCCGGGCGGGGGGGCGAGGGCATGTCTGCGGGAATGCGCGGTGCAGCCAGCTGCCCAGCTGCCGCCCGTGAACCTCGACTGAGCCGTCCCTGGACCTGAGGCCCAGGGCGCGCAGCTGGGAGTGCAGCTCCTTGCGCTCATCGGCTGCGACCGTCTTGTCTGCCTTGATCAGGCGGGACAGCGCCGCCCAGACCTGCTTCGGCGAGATGCGGGGCCCTGCCGCAGCGGCCTCCAGGCGTGGCAAGATCTCGGCCTCGCACTCGTCTGGGCAACACCACATCGTCGGGTGCGCCCCCCCGCGGTCATCGCAGCTGTTCACCCCAGACACGTAGTTGGGAATGAGCACGCCCGGACCGACCCCCTTGGCCCCCTTCTTGGTCAGCGCGCCAACTGCGGCGAGGTACTCGGGCGTCTCGAGGAATTGCCAGTTTTGCAGCTTGGTCGCGTAAGCGTGCCGGAACTCCACCTGCCCTGTGCCCTCGTGGTCCATGGACGACAGCACGCCACGCAGCCGCCGACACCCCGAAGTGTAGCGCTCGGCCAGCCTCCGACGGAGGTGGCGCATGCCGCTGTAGATGCGAGCGGCCGACTGGGACGATCCCACGTTGGCGTCCCGAGTCGCCTCGTCCAGAGCCTGCGCCAGTGGCACCCCCGACATGTGGTTGGAAAAGTCCACGCGCAGATCGGCCAGCTCGTCCAGAGCCCTTCGGACTGCCACCTCGGCGCGCGGATCCTGGTCGGGCCCGGGCGAGATCAGGTCCCTGCTCCGCGTGTGGAGCAGCACGACATACATTACCAAGGCCTCGAGTCCCCCTCCTTTTGCTCTTGTTTTCAGCCGGGCCTGTCCTCCTACAGGGGGATTTGGGACGACAAATAAAAAGTTGTTAAAACATACCCCAGCATGGACAACAGATCATTCAAACCATCGTCCCAAAACTATGTGTTGCTAAGTTTTGAATATTCTTCCTGTAGAGCGACAGGCCCGACTTATCTCTTCTCCCGATTCCCCCTCCTCCCGCTCCTCCCAGGAAATCTGGCGTCGCCAAAGTGAAAGAACACGACCAAATGGAACCCTGAACCCCATCTTTCTGCTGCATGTTCAGGCGGGATCGACCTGTGACGGTCCCAAGACAGGGCCCAGAACCGGGCGGAAGCGCTGGGGGGGTGTTAGGTGTGTTAGGGGTATTAGGGGTGTTGGGGGTTTAAGGCGTTTCGGGGTTTTAGGGGTTGTATGGGTTTTAGGCGAGAAGAACAATCGCCACGCCAGGAGCTCAGGGCCCCCCCCTCCCATCCCGAAACACGAGTCGCCCACGCCTTGTGCATCGGCGTCGGCTGCTCGTGCTCATGGACGCGCGCCTTCGACAGCGCGCGGGCACGGCGCATGAGGACGGCGTCGTGGCTGGCCACCAGCGCCTCGGAGGAGTGGTAGGAGAAGGAGGAGGAGCAGGAGGAGGAGGAAGAGGAGGAGCAGGAAGAAGAGGAAGAAGAGAGGAGGATAAAGAAGAAAAGGATGAGGAAGAAGAGGAGGAGCAGGAGGAGGAGGCGCAGGAAGAGGATGAGGAGATCCGCGGGCCCAGAGAGCCACGGCCAGGTATGCGCGCCCACGGAGGGCCGGCCGCGAGCGAGCACGCAACACTGCTCGCAAATCTACTTCGCACATCGCTTTCCCCACTTACACGCTTGCATTCACACTCGTTTTCGGCCGCCTCCCCTACCGCCCGCGAACGAGAACGCAATCCTGCCTGCAAATACACTTCGTACATCATTTCACAACTGTTGATGCGTCTACGACGCGAACTACAGCATGATCCAGTACCCGCCGATGGTCATGCCTGCCAGGACGCAGTCGCCACCGCCACCGCCGCCTCCGACGCCCGCGAGGCAGCGGTCGCCATCACCGAAGGCCTGGTCCTTCACGGTCGACACCACCTCACTCGACTCCGCCATCACGAAGTACCGCGACGAAAACGACGTCCGGGCCAGCGTAGAACGACTCAAGGAAGCAGCCGACCACATGAGCGACAGCAGTGTGACCGACCTGAAGCGCTCCGACACCGACAGCGGCCGCCTCACGCTGCTACTCCCCTCCAGCCAAGACTAGGGGGCAAACAAACCTACCTCGCTTTTGACCACCCTCGCTTCCAAGAGATACCTAGCGATGCCAAACTGCGGCCTGTACTGGTCAGGGGCCGCTTGACAAAGAGGCGCACGGTAGAACTCGGTTTTGCCTGGAAGCGAACGCGGGGTAGGTCATTCACGCTCTGAAGGACGACAACCTCCGGGGGATATTCGTGATCATCGCAGATACTCCAGATTTCGTAATAAAAGGGAGGGGGTCTGGACCCTCCAGGACAAGCCATTTCAGACCTCCCCCGTGGGAGAACCCTCCAAAACATCGTCCCCAGACCCCCCAGGCCCTCCAAGATAGCCTGGAAGAGACCCCCCCCCGAAATGAGACCCCCCTCCCTTTATTACGAAATCTGGAGTATCCACACAGACACAGCCTCACTCCACAGCGATTCACCGCACGAGTGCCGCAGCCGCAAGCATCTGACAGCCAAATCCCACGGCGACGACACTGCTAATACCCGACCTCTTGGCCACCCCGAGCACGGCGGGCACGGCATGCTCCAACCACGAGGGACCAGACATCGACAGCATTGTACACCCTGCGAAATGCTTAAGAAATCATGGGCTAAGAAATTCATAGTCTCAGAACTTGAATAACAAAAAACCCAACAATTCTATTAAAAGCTTGGGATTTACATTGAAACGTTAAGAATAATCGAGACTCTGTCCGAATATTTAAGTTTTCTTAAGCATCGCCTAAGGTGTACGTGCCCGTCCCAAGGACCGCGCAGCACCAACGGCGGCAACACCAATGACACCAGCGACAACAACGCATGCAACGAGCCCCCTGCCCCGCTACAGAGCTCCACGAGCTGTGCTGACGCCTACGCCCATCACGCATGGCAGGAAAAAAACATCAAAGCCACCTCCGACCACCCCGCGAAGCCACGGGAGAAACCAGGGGACAGCAGCGAACCAAACTACGCCGAACCAGTGCGCAAGGCCCCCGAAGGCCAACGACGACATCAAGCGTAACTGGGACGGGGCCATCGAGCTCTTAAGCAGACCCCCCACGCCGCCGCCAAGCATGACAACAAGGCTGAGGACCAAGAAACGTATGTATGACATCATCGAGTGCTTGACCGCTATGATCAGCAACGGCGTATACAACCGCAAGAGCGTGATGTCCGACATACATACCCACGAGAGACGATCGCTCACCACTTCGACCAAATGCTGGACCTGGCCGACACAACGAGAACCAACAGGCGTATGGCGTATGTGGCAGGAGCTCTCAACAGCTACCGCAAGTCCGACGAGCTGCGGGACGCACACCCCTTCCACATGACCCAACAGCACAGGGATTTGGCTAGTTAACCAGCCGACCAACTACCTGGCCAACATGCTGGGCTAACTACCCGAAACACCACAGCCACGACGACATTCCTGAGCCAGCAGAGGTGGTACAGCAGAAGAGAGACACCCGTATGGGTATCAAGGTAGCCATACGACACAACCCCACATGCACGCCGACGCCATTTCTTGTCACCGGCTTACAAAGGGAAATCGCAGACGAGGTAATGGTCAAGATGGCCGAGCTCATGAACAACCGGAACCCTTTGCCATAGACAGGCCACAACATCAACAGAATCGACAGCCGAGACCCGAACCACCGACCGTATTCGACCTCGTGCAACCTACCGAGAAGCGCATCGGGACCTCACCACTCCAAGCTCGACAGCTGGGTCAACAACCGCCGACATCAGGACCCAAGGCAGTGGAGCAGACCAACAACGCCAACTTGGTGCAGCCCCAGTGGACCACGACCACCGCGGACCAAACTGAAGGGAGCAGCACTGCACAACACCATCAAGGACCACACCAGACCCAACAGCGCTCGGGGGCGGCCAAGACGGGGGGTGCATATCAGATATCATGGCTGGCGGCATGTGCGCGGCCCAGGGGGGGTGCCGGGGACGCATTGAAACAAGAAGGGGCGCCATGCAATCTGGGGAGATATCATGGCCCTCGCCATGGTATCCACCCCGCCCAGTCATCTCCCCCCTCTTGGCCGCCCCCGAAGCACACTACCGACGACGACTGCAACACCGCTGCTACGATCCGCAGCACGATCACTAACCACGACATAGAACGGGACGTATCCCACACGCCTCGCGAATGGAAGACGGTCGTGTCCCAGCCCACAGACGGACTCCATGGCATCATCCCCCATTGCACCGAGAAGGAGACGGTTAAGGAGGCCTTGCCAGTCTACGGCCTCAACCCGCGGAAAACATTGCCGACCTTCGCAGACGCCGTCAAAGCGAACCAGCCCGACCAGCACGACCCAAATACGGCGAATCAAGAAACTCCCCCCTGATCGCCCACAGTATGAGGCAACCCTCGCGATCGGACCGACATAACCGCGGCCAATCAGTGCGATACATCGCATACCTACCTCTTGCTTCACTTGCTTCATAGCAGACAACACCACCAGGTGCTACCTACCTAGTCCTATCTCTGCACTATCCTTTTTACCGACACCTACCCACTCACCACATGACGGAAGCAGCACAGCTGGTGGTGTGGAATTCTACATTCTACTATCTCTGCGGCAGCACTATACAGCGAGGAAATCAATGGCGACTACGATCAGCGTGGGTCCCCACGGGGCTTTCTCACCCACTTGAGCGCACATCATTGCTACAAGACACGCGTGGGTCCCCGAGGGAAACTCTCACCCACAGCGTATGAGGGCTCTACCAACCTCCACTCCCCACCGGCTCACCTTCCCCACTCTGACCTCCTCAATGCCCTCCTCTTGCAGTGGGGCAGGGGTCGGCATGCTATGGGCGGGGAGAGGGACAGGACACGCCGCCAGCTGCCCAGGCTAGGGCCAGGGCGGCCGCGGCCAGTCGAGGGCGCCGTCGCACCCTCGGCTGCCGCTGTTCCCACCCAACCTCCTCGGCGCCTCCTCTCCCCCAGCCGCCACCAGGGCACCACACACCCGTGCCACCTTGGGCCAGTCTGGGGGCCGCCTGGGGGCCCTCCTGGACCGTTCTGTGTCCCTCCGGGGCGCCTCTGGGGCCGTCTTGGGACGACCTTTGGGGCCTCTTGGGCCGTCTGGGGCCCTTCGGAGACTGAAAAGGGGAGAACCCGAAAACCTGCAAAACACTAGAGAAATCAATGTTGTTGGCCTCCTGAGGCCCTGTCGGAGGCCCTCTTGTGGGCCTCTGGAGCCGTCTCGAGACGCTCTTGGACCGTCTTGAGGCCATCTGAAGCTCTCTTGGGGCCGTCTTGGGGCCCTCTGAAGCCGTTTTGGGGCCCTCTTGGGCCGTCTTGGAGCCCTCTGGCCGGTTCACCAAAACAACAATAACAAGAAACACGCTATGGGAACCGCCCGGGAGCCGCTTCACTAGAAAAAAATACAAGGGAAACGGCCCCCCGGCGGCCATTAGACTAACCATCGGGTCCTCGCCCCTCCCCTGGGCCCCTCCCTAGAGGGCTTCGCCCCACCTAAACGTCATCACTCGGAACTCGCTCTTTCCGTTACCTGGAGGAGAGAGGACCCGACTCAGCCACAAGAACACCTTGCCCCTGGAGGTTCCCGCCCACTTTCGCACTACCGCCACGCCAGTCTTGCTGCCGCCACCTCTCACCTCTTCGTCCTTTCATTCTGAGCTTATGATTGATGGTGATGGGGATCTCTCTCCCTCTCTCTCTCTCTGTCTCTCTCTCTCTCTGATTTCTCTCCTGTCAAGTGGGGCCTCGGCCCCCCATTTTGTCTCATCGTCTACTCCCCCAGGGGGGCCCGACAGGGCCTCCCTGGGGGAAGCGGCAGCGTCCGGAGCACACCCTTGCCGACAGGATACAGGACACAGGAGAAAGGAGGAGGCCGAGGAGGAAGGAGTAGGAGGAGGAGTAGGAGGAGGAGGAGGAGGAGGGAAGAGGAGGAATGAGGGGCGGCAACAAAAAGCGGGCAAAACGCCCCGGGCGCCTCGAGGGCGTGGACGGCCTCGGCCGCCTCGCGCAGGGTGAAACCCCGCCCCCGTTGCGGGGACAAGGCCGAGAGCAGCGGCGCCCACGCCGCCGCGGGTTGCAGAGCACCACCGGTGCCCAGCACCTCCGAAGGGCCAGTTTTCCCACCACCATTGCCACAGGCAGGACGGGGGAGAAGGGAGGACGGGAAGGCCCTCCTCCCTCTCCTCCACCTCCTCCTCCTCCTCCTCCTCCTCCTCCTCCTCCTCCTCCATCCACTACCTACGTTAGTGGTGGTGGAAAACTGGCCCATCATCCTCCGCGGCGCGGCGCGCCGCCGCGAGGCTGGCGTTGTGGCCGTCGCGCAGCCAGGGCGCCGTGTCGAGGCCCTCGTGAGACGAAGCTGGGACGAGGATTCAATCGAGCACACGGATATACAGTAGGTGCTCGACCACAATAGACCTTCCACAACAAACCCAACCATTAGACCCCAGAGCGTCCACTGATTTTCGTTGGTATGGGAACGTCACGCCTCCCATAGCAAAACCATCGAAACCCAAGAAACCCACGGCACACTGGAGGCTAGCAGGGTGTTTCCTGGCATGGGTCTGCACTGCACGTCGAGAGAAACTCTCGGAGAAAACCGGCGGAACGGGGGGATGCATACAGAGGGCGCCGCGGCCTCCTCGGAGCTCTTCCGGAACGCTCCGGGAGCGCGTTCTGGAAGGCTCTAGAACCGCTGGGCAAAAGTTACACCACCACTACCACAGACAGGAGAGGGATGATGATGAGGAGGAGGAGGAGGAACGGAACGGAACGGAATGCCCTGACGGGGGAAGTGCACAGCACTAAATACTGAGCTCAGCTCAGATTACTGGCCTCTCGAAGAGGCAGCTTCCTTGTCACGAATTCTCTCCACAAGAGCTGCCAACCGCACCTCATATGAAAGGGCGGCCCCTGATGCCGAAGGAATAGACACCACCGTAGAGTCAGACACCGCGGGGCTCCTGGGGACTCTCTACGACGGCCTCTTGGGGGCCAGCCGAGCAAGGGGAACAGTACGACCCAGGAGCTCCGAACATTTACGATTCGGAGATTTACCCTGGAAAAAGCGGTTTATAACTTCCTGACCCTTCTTGGTGGGGGGCATACAGGGACCAGCCAACTTTAAAGCACGGCCCTGGGACCACCCTCCACACTTTAAACACACATAGCTTTGCTTCTCAGGGATCGCGCACACAACATCAACCGAGGCAGGATTTCGAGCGAGTCCAGCCGCGACGATGAGGTGCCCCTGGGGATCCTTGAGCAGCTTATCTATGAGAGGGGGTACACCAGTACAACCAGTAAGATCCAGCTGCGATCGGGAGTTCCCGCCTAGCCGCAAACAGCGGCTGCAATGGAATCCCGCGGCCCCGTCCTGCCAGTCATGCCAGCCGACGCGGAGCCTGTCGCGCGCGCCTCGGGGCGCGGGGGGGAAGAGGCCACCTGAGACCATTCTTATATAGCGGGATCACAGCAGCGGCAATCTTCGCGAAATTGTTTGCCCTCTCAAGGGCAAGGTTGACAGAAGAAAGAAACTCTGGATCTGCACCGACATGACGCATCAAAGCTTTCTTAGCATGATGATCCACAACCGAATTGCCGACAGCAAACTCTCTCTCGCCGTCGGGCAGAACATCTATGACTGCCTGTGTGCGGTGCGCTTTCACATGCCGAACCTCCTGGAGCCACTCCTGCCCCTCGGGACTCTGAGCGAAAAGACGGATGCCAGCAAACTTCGATGAGGCAGCCAACTGGTGAGCGATGTTGCGCTGAGTAACTTTTATCGCCGACATGCAACCCGCGCCGAGCACCGCGGGTCGATTCGCCACCTGGCCGCGCAACGCTATCGCAACGTGCTCAGACATCGCGGGTGTCTGAGGAAAAGCGCCGTGGACTACGCCACGTAAAAAAGCAACTGGCTCAGGTGCAGCCCCAACATCAGGCAGCGCTCCAATGGCCCATGCTGCTCGCTGGAGCGCACGGATGGAAGGCTTGGAACATGATCCGTCTGATACAAGACGGAGCACCTGATCGCTTGAGAGCTCTGCAATCTGCTCAGGATCCATGTCTAGTGGGTTGCCCGCGACATCAAACAACTCAACCTCAGACGACGCACTCGGCTTGGGCAACTCACTATCTGGATGCACAAAGATCCCGCGGGTGAGAATCTCGAGATCAGGATCTTCGAGCGCCGCCTGAATATGCTCAGGCGTGGCGCCCGACTCGTCTCGAGCTGCTTTCACATCCTCACGCGTGCACGTGTAAAGCCTGTGGTGGAGTGTGTCGACCTGTCCGCACTCACAGCGCCCGTCCGTAGCGTAACCCGCCAAACGACCTCTGTAGTTGGCCCACACTCCATTGCACCCACAGCATTTCACTAAAAACTTAGCGTGCCTACCCAAACCCTTAGCTTTTGGCCCCAAGCGGTCCCGCACGAGATCCAAGGTGGCCCTGTGCCCAGGGGGGGGGGCCTAATTTAGCTGCTAGGGTCAGTTCATGCTGGCGCTGAGTACTAATCTCTAGCATATCGGCTAACAGAGCAGGAGGGGTCTGATCTATCTTTACCGTGAGACCATTGTGATCATTCCACTCCAAAGGTCCTAGCACCTCCCACCCAGCTCTCTGGAGCACTAGCACCGCACGACGGATAGGGCCGCGAGAGGAGCTCCAAGGGCCACCCTGCAGGGGCTGGGCCGAGTCCCAGAGCCTAAGAAGTTCGCTCTTACTGACTAGTGCTCGCTCGGGCTGGGTGGAGGCTATCCAGATCATCCTACGCCAATGGATCGCAGGGGCCACCGCGGGACGAGAGCTCTTGTCCCCAAGAAGCACCAGCTTCGCAGTTAAAGAGACCCCGCCGTGACATGGGGGCGTCAGCACTACAAAGCATTCGCTGGTGGGACCCCCACTCGGCCTGACTAAGGCCTGAAACCTCAGAGCCAAAACTGCTAGCTGGGGCAACTCCAGCACGGCAAATCTTGGAAAATGGGGCATCTTTCCGACCCTTAAACCGTTTCTAGTAAAACTTGACTTTCCTAAGTCTCATTTTCATTTCAGAAAAACGTCGGGCTTGTTTGGCTCTCACCCCTACTGCATCGCGCCTGGCTCCTGCAGCCTCGTCGACGCCGAGGTAGGAGACACTCTGCTTGAGGATCGAGTGCGGCAAGTCCAGCGCGTCGAGCACCGCGTGGCCGACCTTCGGGGTGGACGCCAGTAAGCCAATCTTATCATAGTTGAACCCAGCAGAGAGCTTATTAGAAGTACGTCGGAACTCAACCATAGCGTGCACTGAGACCTTCACTGCAATCTCCTCGTCTTTGGCACCATTGCTGAGAGCCGCCTCGTCGATGTAGTTCAGAAAGTCTATCGCTGGGCATCTGGATATGTACCCATCGAACTCTTCGTAAGCGTGCACCTTGATCGCCAAATCATTGTAGCCGTCGCCCGCAGGTAAGCCACATATTGCAAACAAAGGTGTGACATAATGATGCTTGCCCAAGCGAATGATACGCGGTGACCTCCACGTGTTATATACCAAATTGAGCCAGCAGACAGGCACTCCAACTTTCAGAAACTTCAATCGCAACAAATCCAAAGGTATGGACTCGTAGTATTTGGGCCAATCGATGACCCACATGAGGTGATGACGGTGACTGTGATGATCACTCTCAGCTCGTGCCGCCTGCAGCCAAGCACAATCAAGTGCCGAACGTCCTTTAGCTGCACCCCAATATCTACGAGAAAGCTGCTGACTGATGCCTGATACCATCCATCTGCGAGCGCGCTGCCAAATACGGTACACTCCAGCATACAGAATTATCAAACGATTGCCTCCTGACGGCTTGCCCAACATCGGCATCTGTATCCAACATAACTGCTTAGGGAGAAGCCCACTTGCCTCAGAACATTGAAATATCAGACTGGGCGCTTCCAAAGCGTTGTCGTCTAACATGAGCGCATGCCGAGGGTGGAAATGATCGAAGCTAGCTGATGTTCCCGTCGGGAAGGCCTTCACCACCGATCTGATAGCTTCAGGTTCCATCGCAGGGCAAGTGCTCCGATCAGGCACCCAAGCATAAGGTGCTTGACCAATTGCCTTCCACAGCTTCTGGTACATCCCCACTTCCTTCTCGACGATCGCAACTGGGCTACCGGAGACGACTGGCCCTGAACACTGAGCTGGCTCCGGCGTGGCCTTGACCTTCGTAAGTCTGTGAAGGGCACGCGCACCACGAGACACTGACTCGGCACACCAATCACTCCACAGCTGCGTGGACTCCTTGTTCATGCCTGAAACAGCGGCCTCCAAGTCCTCATTCACCTCGTCTAAGAACTGGGAGATCGCATCTGTGTCCATGGGGATGCCACTGACCAAATCGCGCGCTTGCTTGACAGAGAAATCCAGGCGCGCATGCAGCCCTTGACCATGATACTGCACCGTGAGAAAACTGTCAATCTCAAGAGAGCTCTGATATAGATGACTGGTCCCACGATAGAGCTGCACGATCGCCTGAAGACTATTGGTCATCCACTGCCAGCCTTCAGCAATCAACTTCGCGTGCGTCTCATCGTCTAACTCGTACGTCGCATCAACCCACCTGGGAGACAAAGAGCGGCCGAAAACTCCAGGCTCTTTCAACTCCGTGCCCGTGTTGATCGCCACCTGCTTCGCTGCCGTCACTGCGAACTTCGACCAAACTCGTGATAGAAATGCCCATGCAGCTTCAACCGACTGCGCCTCGTCCGTCGCCATGGCCAGACACGCCTCAGCAAGAGCGCGGTGAGTGCCCCAGTCAGCTGGGGCTGCAGTAGGTCCAATCACTGGAGCCGACGGCAATGATGGCGAAACGGTGTACACAAAGTGACGAATACTGTACCCATTGTCCACGATACGAAGCAGCACAGGTCGATGTGGTCGTTTTGCCCATCGCATTTCAGCTAGCACACCTCGGAAACCACGCGCCGCCACATCGTTTAAGGCGAGGTAGTCGATAGTCGTGGATCCCGTTCCTGCTCGACATGTTACTTGAGTTGGCACTGCCATGGTGACCTTTGCCGTGCGAGGAAAACCAGTAGACTCCAGTTCTGACGCAGACATATTCCAATCACATCCAGCAATACAAGGTCCACGAAAGGCGGAGAAACATTGCCCGAGTTTGGCCAAGATAGTGGAGTTGATGCCCGTGGGACCGATGGAGTCCTTGAGATAACCATTCAGAACATGGTAAGCTGGCCATCCAGGAAGATCCACCATCACATGCTGTAGCCGGCGTGGATACAGAACATGTTGTCCATGCTCAGGCTTACGAAGTCCCAGCACAGAACGTGCAAACACCGCTACTCCAGC